TGCTCATCAATTTGTGTGTGGCACAGAACATCAAATGTGTGAAAAAACACATTTCTAGAAATATTTCCAAAATGGTATTTGACAGATGATGAATAGCTGCCCTGAGCAGTGGATGCACACATGAGACATAAGCCAGCCATAAATGTTGTTTTGTTCAGTCTCTCTGCAGCTGCTCCAGTCTAGATATTATTCTTTCATTCTCCTTTCAAAAACGCTTGCAAGGTTAGCACAGCAATTGCTGCTTTATGGTAACTCTCAGCCATTTTCTGAGAGAATAATTCCTCATATTTTGTGCACTTTGTACACCACTTATCTCTCCAGTACTTTATTCTGCTGCCTGGGGTGCTTACACATGGGAACAGTCAAGCTCTAAGCTAAGCAAAGTGACAACCAAAAGAATTACAGCTGCAGGGACAGCATCAGGGACAGGATATACAACTGTGGCTAGGATTTCACCATTCTTCAGGTAACAATATTACTTTGCAATGTTTACATTATCTTTCATAAAAATATCTCTAAATACATTTTTTGCAAAGATGTTAACTTCAGCTTTCAAATATTTTACTATAAAAATAGGGAAACTGTTAGTCGCTCTATGAAGATAGGAAAGTATCCAGATTTATCTAGGTTCAGGATACTTCCCCTGGACCTTGTCATGCATTTCCCTGATAAAATAAGGAAACTTGTCCACCTATAGGGTCTCACAGACTTGATCAAGTCAGCTCTGACCTTCCCTCCGTTAAAGTAAGTATTGACCGAGGTTATTCAGCCTCTCGTAGGGCATTACAGAAGAGTGCCTCATTATAATGCCTTACACAAGTAAAATGACATTCAAAGTTCCGCAAAAGCAATCATGAGTTGAATAACCCTACAGTGCTTCTTAGACAGTGAAAGTATTTGAGCCATCAAAAGTGCACACGCTTACAGGGAGCACATTTAATTACTTTAATAACTAGCCTGTTCCTCTAACTAAACCAGTAAGTATAGCTGTAGGCAAGACAGAAGATAATGGCACAGTATGGAGGCAAACGCTTCCTACCTGACATGAGTCACCAGCGTACTCCGGAGGGCAGGAGCATGTCTCTACACTGTACGCAATGCTGCCGCTTCCTGCGCTGGTGGCTTCTTCCAGCCCAACCTCACCAAGGGTTAATCGCTGAGTCTCCGTGAAGTAAAGGGCTCTGATGTGTAAGCCATCTAGTCTAGACAGGATTATCATCAGTTCTTCTCGGGATACAAGGTTATTGTTGCTGGCATGCCTGAAGTTTCCCTGCACATTAAGGGTACAAAATGAGCGCTGCCCTGCAGCTTCTTAAAAAAAAAAAGTATCTGCGAAGAAGACAGGATGACAGAAAAAGGGAGAAAAATCCCAGGGAACAGACCCCTCTAGTGCCAATTGGTGTGGGGTGAAATAGAGGTCAGGAAAAGAAATGTAACGAATGTAAACACAGGATAGGTGGAACAAGTAATAATGAGCATAAAAAGGGATGTACCCTTTACTTCGCAAGGTACATATGGCTTTGAGGTATCAAAAAGTGAAGAAGTGTATAGGTTCTTCTTCAGTCATCTAAATTTCTTCGAGGTATCACGCATCAAACCATAAAAGGGTGGAGGAAAATGCTTTTATTTTTAAGAGTAAGTGAAGTCCTACAAATCCAATCTTTTGAGGGCTGCCTTCACATGCTTTCTTGCTGCTAATAGACACAGCATTACTGAAAATGGAATCTGGCTTGAAGAAACATCTTTTTTTGCCTATATGTGAGACAGAAATAAATAACCCAGACTGACCTTCTGAGCACATATTAAAGGTAGGAATAATCCCTGCTAAGTTCACCTGCCTGAATGTTGGACACCCATTCTAAACTACGTAGCTAGGCACCAAGAAAAACAGATAACAGTTCATTCCATCCTTATTAAGTACAGTCTGGGGCTGCAATGAATCATCTACCATTGATGACTGATTCAGTATTACTCCACTGGCCCTGGAGTGAGTGCTAAGGGCTAAGTTGGACAAGATGCCTAACATAGAGGTGCTAAAATTAGGTGGCATGAACCAGAACCTAGGTTCAATGTGCCAGTAAAGAGAGAGAAAAAATAGTTTATATTTAAGGTCTACAGTATTGAAGTTTATATTCATTCACATTATCAAGTATTTGGTATTTCTGCACATATTACCTGCATATTTTTTATGTGCCGCTGGGAAGAAAAGGGAAAGCCATTCCATTTTCATTTCTTACCTCAACTAGTTGCACACGGCCATAATATTGACGGTCAGGCAGTGGGTTGTTGGGATCCATATAAACAATTTTCATTTGCTGGCCCTGTGTGAGAACAAGGATATAACATTGCCATTTTACTACTTTTTATGGTAAAGTGTTCAGATGCAATAAAATTTGGTGAAGCACATTAATCCTGTTCTTTGGGAGATATAAACTAAGTAATACTAGGAAAACCTTATATCATTTTTGTCAGCGAAGTGGTATAGCAAGCACTGTGTTCTAGTGTTAGCAGGGTTTTCACTGCTTTTGCCTATTACCAACCTCGCTTTCAAATAAAAACCCAAGAGAATTACATTAATGCTGACCAGTTTTCACAGGAACTAGTTATAACTTGTGAGTAAAAATGCTTTTGCAGTTTCAAGCACTTTCCTTTCAATTCTGGTGCACAAACAACTTTGGATACTACTGTAGTATCTTACGAGGCATGTTTCCCAATAAGAATCCTAGAACACTGAATTAGTATTTCTGATGGTCTGAAGAAACAAAATTCCCTTAGGAATTTCAACAAACAGTAAAATATTTCAATTTTGGCCCAAAAGTGGTTAAATTAAAAAAAACATGTTAACCTAAAATCCATTTTTGCTTTGGTCCCTTGAAGACACATAATTATGCTTAACCTTACGCAGAAGAAAATTCTCACGGAAAATGAGATTAATGCCACATGGAACCAGGGCATATTTTGCAGTGTTGAGGCCATACTTGTTGACAAGTGTGCAAGGCATTAATTATTTTTTTTCCACAGGTGCATTTTACAGAGAAAATCCTGTTTTATTTTTTTATTTGTTCTCAAGTCAGTTATGCTTAATAATATGTTACTTTGGCAATAGAGATAGGTGTGTTGATGGCTCTGAGCAAAATGCAGTAAAATCACTTTTATAGAAATGTAGCAAGTTGCTATAAAAGTTAAGCACACTATATGAGCAAAATTTGCCACAGTTGTCAGGTAACAGAAAAAATCATGGTATTGGTATTGCTTGAAAGAAAAAATAATATTTTAAAACTTACTGTTAGTTGTATATCAGGTCTCTTATCCAGAAGAACCATGCCTTCACTAGGTAAGCCAAAAGATTTCACTTGGTAACTTAGGAAGCCACCATATGAAGAAAGCTGTAACAAAATGCACAAGACAGGAGATACTTTACCACGCTATTGCTTGATATTAATATAACTTTGTATTCAAGTTTACCCCATCTTCCAGCACTGTAAATAATATATTTACTCTTTGTTCTTTAGACAAAATATGAAAATGTGTTGCTTGGAAGAAATGACTTTCTATTTTGTTTACTTTGTGTATCATCTGACATGACTTTTTGAACTGTACCTGTTACTGTTCTCTGGAAGGTTACCTGCATTGGGGTGTTTTTTTTCATACCTGGGATCACGCCATCTGTGGTCATGGAGAAATCACGTGTTCTCATGAACATTGTTCTTCCCCAGACTCTACAGAACAGATTTGGCTCATCAGTCTTACATTGTCATTGTAAGACTGACAATGAAAGTGGTAGTGAACCCGAAGAATAGCCATGAATAAAAAGGAGAAGTCAGACTAAGCATGTTTAAAGGTGGCTTTCATAGGCCCGCATTTGCTAACCTTACTACAAACATGAAGCTAATCAGGACGTCTTTGCTTCATCTCCTGGAGGACAGGACATCTACTGATATCATCAGCTGCTATCAGCTCTGCTGTAAACACACCATTGCTGTAGGCAGAGCTGAAACGACACTTCTTTTGGCTCAACTATAGGTGACCAAAGGCAGCCTCAAACCCAACCAAATACATACACTGCTGCCCAAAACAAAGACTTAGACAAGTATGTTTGAATCATCTGACCAACAGCTTCCCTGGGTGGTGTATGAGTGACTGAGTTCAAAACATATTGAGAGGAAAAGAAGCTCCAGGCACAGCCTAAACTGTGTGTGTTCCAAGAAGAGCCTAGAAGGAAGGTTTGCAGGTATTGGGTGAAATCAGGTGTTTTGCCAGAGACATATTACGTTTTACACCCCTTGCTGTCTGCCCTCATGGCTTACGCTTGGTTTTGACATGGGAGGAAGAACAGCTTTGTTAGGTTTTGGTGTTCTGCAGGTAAGCACCAGCCTTTGCTCTACCCCTTCCCATACACTTTGATGAATTACAAACAAAACAGAGACATCTCGGTACTAAATTTGTTCCTTGGATCACAGGGCCATAATTAAATACTATTATCTTTAGCCAACTGCATTTTCAAAAGCGTCATTTGGAACATTGGCTATATTTTGCCAACACAACCAAACAACTCTGTATAATTTTTAATTTTTTTTTTTTTCAAAAATACAAGAAAATTCAAATTAGAGCTAATTTCCTGTTTAACACACATTTTTGGACTGCACCATATGCAGGCTGTTATGTTGCTGCTTTTTTAATGATTTTTTTTTTAAATGGAAAAATATTGGTGTTATAAAGTACCCTTTGTATTCTATATGTACAGTATTTATTTTCTAACATTGGTCTATTAAATAGAATGTTAAAACATACAAGAGCAGAAAATGGGGACAGTGTGATCTGAATTTCTCAATGACTGTTAGTTTCTGCACTGCTAAAGATTTTGTATTTGATTCCCTTTTAACGTCATAAACAGAAGAGAGAGGAAAGGAAATATACTCTGCTAAATATTAATGTTCCAGTGAAACTAGTTAAAAGGTTTAAGATAATGGAAAACAGTATTCATATCCTCATCATACTGAAAAATGTCTGGAGTGATCTTGTTCCCATTTTCCAGAAGAGGTGCTATCATTGGAAGTAGACCAAAAGCTAACATTTTCAGAATGCAATAACATGAATGATTGGTAAATTTATGAGCTTGTAAAACTAGTAACAAGATAGCATTTTGGGGGGGACTTTCACTACTACAGTACAACCAGTGTTAAAATATACACTTACATACTGTGTACAGTAAAAGCAGGGCCAAAAATAGAACCATTTTATTTGCAGTGTTGTCATTGTAAACAAAAGCAAGTCATGGCATGCCTAGTTAAATACTGTGACATGCAACATAAAACATAGCTGTGCTTAAAAAGGGTCATTACCTGCTTGATATTTTGTTATGGGAACAACAAAAGTCCTTTTGGTTTAACATTGGAGTAGATAAAGTGTGCTTTATGAAGAAATTTCTTTGAAAAATAATTTGTAGGCATTGAAACAAGAACCTCTATAACATTAACAAAAAGCACTCTGACTAACTGTGCTGTTCAACTGAAAGTTATTTACCTCTGAGCATAGGAGGGCAGGGTGAAAAATACTGCTCCAGTCTTTAAAATGAGGACTAAGAGGAACTTCCAAAAATGTACCATCTTTAATGCTCTTGTGTCTATCCCATTTTTTTTCACTTGCGTGAAAAATTGCGTCTGAAAAGCCTGTGTGGCCTGCAACTGGCTAGCAACTACTGACACCGTCGGAGTTGCAAACAGGGAGAACCTGGGGCTTTGGGCCTGCAAGCCACCACTAGCAAAGTCCCTCTGCTCACTGTGATCCCCAGGCTGAAACGCCGATAGGCAGTGACCGCGAGAAAAGACTGCTCCCACGCAGGAGTAGGAAGAGCAGCAAGCGGAACACAAAGGTTAGAAAACCAGGTGGTGTTCTTCCCAAGCATCACATCGAAAGCAAAAGGTGGGGTTTTCACGTGCCACTAAGCACGTAATCACCTTTTATTCTTTTGGAAATCTGCACAGGAGATACTCTAGGGCCTCTACAGGATACTCGGGCATATTAGCAAGCTCTATATGTTCTGGGTTTCAGAAAAGTGGTTGAAGGTACCAGCTCCCTGAACCATAGCTCTTGACCATGCTGTTCACATGAAGACCTCCTGGCACCAAGCAAGAGAATTTCGTCTGTGTTATTGGTTATAATTTTAACACTGTACTCAGTCGTAAAATGTTGTGATTTCTGGCATGACATGTAAGAGAGATAAGAATCTCGTGTGGGAGGGGAGAGAAATGTATCTAAGAAAAACCACGAGACTCTTTGTCAACAACGGTGGCAAAAAATGAATACATGTTATTAAAACAGATGAGTTGGGTGTCATTTACCTTCTCTCCCAGGTAAGACGGTGGTGCTTTCCAGTACAAACTATGCACTGAAGTAGGCAATTCTTGAACATCAGCAACTACACTATTACTGACTGGATTGAAAGTGACTGGAATGTCAATATTTTCATCCACCGCCTCCAAGCGCCAGTTCCTCATGTCCACAAACTAATGAAAATACATAAAGGAAATAAAAGCTTGTCTCATCCTTTATTAAACTTTACCAGCACTAAGTATTGAGAAGAAATTGTTTAGCCTCTATAATTCCCTTAGGATGAAATTCAACCCCTTCAGAGCCAGCCTAAAGTCTTTGTGCAATGGACGTTGCAAGGACCTCAAAAGAGAGCGCAAGTGGGACAGATGTGCCACAGCTACTTGGGATGCAGGCATGTGGTTTGTCACCTGCAAACTAAATTCTATCTTCAGTCACATGAAGACATAACCCTTCTGGAGGTGACTAGGAATTGTGTACACAAACCCAAGGATATAACCTGGAGGTGCTTTTTCAAGACCATTCCAAAATCAAACCAAGGACACTAACCTAAAAGACAGAGTGCAGACTTGTTGTGGTAGGCTAACTGGGAGGGAGGGGACGTGGCGGGATATTTTGGGGAGGCAAGCAGGCAATGTAGCCTAATATTCTGGCTCTTCAATGCACATTTTATGTTCATGGCTGTTGTTTCATGTAAGATTATACATCCTGTTATTTATTATTATACTTGGGGAAAGAAAGCATAGTGTGTATGTACCAGAACATTCTGTGGTGGGTTGCCCTTGGCTGGCCAGAGAAGTAAAACAAAAAGATAGACGTGTTTTCAAAAACAGTCTTTGGTGACAACAGGTAATCACTAGAGCAAATTTTCCTAAAGCAAATGGAAGTTTGCTGCTGACTTCACTGAGGCCAGATTTTCATCCTTTGCTTGTAAACAGTAAAGTGTCTCAATCTGGATTGCATCTAGTCTATGTCTAAGCCTAAACTCAACTCCTCGTCCATCATTCTAGGACTCTGCTTCTCTCTTTTCTTTCTCTGGCATTGTTTCAGACAGTTGTTGCTTTTTTTTTTTTTTTTTTTTTTTCAGTCTTCAGCCACCTTACCATTAATTTATGCTACTAAAATCATCTTCTCCTTTCTTTCTCACACTTGATGACATGTTTTTTATAGGGAAGGAAGGAAGACAATTTTTACAATCTCTGTAGAATCTGTCACACATTTCTTAGGTTTCAAAATGCATCTATGACATAGACATGTAAAATGACACGTGCTTATTAAAGCATCTTGAAGGAGACCATTGACTTTAATGATGAACTAGTGCCTGAAGATAAAGCAATAGAAGGCCAGCTCAACTTTCAGTCCAACTAGTGATTTGTAAACAAACAGGTAAAAAGGGCCATCTCTGCTGAAAGGCACTTTCAGACTACACCTAAGTCTTAACGAGGCTGCACTAAATCTGCACTATTGCTTGCAGAATATTTCTCATCCTTAGAAACTAATAAAATAGATTTTCGATTTTGGAAGAAATGGAATTAATGTAGGTTCACGATAGCAAAGAAAAAAAGTATTGGATACACCTTGGTTCTACGACGATCTGTGCTGCGGCAGTTGCTGGTTGCCCCAAAACAAAAGCAAGAGGTGCATCCCTTGGGATTAGAAGGGTCCAGATAAAAGGATCCTGGTCGGCAAGTGTCACATTCTGTACCTTCAACATTCTCCTATTAAGGCATAGATGAAAGAAATTTTAGGGCGTTCCTTTTGGTTTTGGTGAGGCCCCCAAAACCTCCTGCGCATAAAACAAATCTTCTGAAAGAATATTTATTTAAATGTATGGGAACATGAATGAAAAATGCGTGATTGTCTGGATACACCATATTCAAAATGCAAGTAAAACTGACTTCTTGGAGATTAGCTATGAGCTGTCTTTCAGTTTATAAAGTGAACCACTGAGTAATAAATATTAGTCAGAGACAGCTGGTAACTTCCCTGCCAAAACCCTCCTGCTGGCTTTCCCAAACCTACAATATAAAAGGTCACTTGTGAAAGTTCACATTTATCACATTTAATTATGCAGATCAGAACAAAAGATTTCCTGGATATAATGATGTGGTGAAATGTCAACTGACATAATATGGCTAAAAAAAGCATGGGACCTGGTTAACATCCAAAAGCCGAGATGCAGATGCATAAAGCAGATCTGTGCAGGGTACAGACTGCTTCAGTGAATCAATGGACATCTACACTGCAGCTCTATCCTGCAAAGCCCAAGACCACCTGTACAACTGACAGATACTGAACTCATTAAAAAATGGCATTTAACTGCTACTGTGATAATCTGTGCACATACTGCAAGGTGTGATGGTTTTCTACAGCTGCACTTAATTTTTACTGAAAACTTAATGATAAACTCACTTCATTCATCCCATTAAATACGAAATAGTCACTGATGTGCAAATAATGCTTGTGACTGCATAAGTAATTTGATTTATCTGACCTTGCAGAGACAAACTCCTGTCTGGGGATCGCAAACATCTGGTTCTGTTCCATCTCTGTTACAGTTACACGGCACGCAGTTTGGGAAACCGTAAGTACCCGGAGCACACTGATCACACTGCCGTCCTTTTATTCCTGGTTTGCATCTTTATCAACAAACAAACACAGAGGTGGGAGTCAACATGGGAGGCAGGAACGGAATGAAGAAAGGAAGATTAAAACAAAAGGCACAGGTGGATCTTTGAAGTGACTGCATGGCTATGACACTACTTTATGATTTCCACGGAGAAACAGCAGCAGGTTAATATCGTTCTCAGATTTGAATGGTGAGATGTTTTAAATGGTCATGGAACTGATGAGGAATGGATTTGATTCTGAAGGATACAAATGTTCACAATAAAATTAGATTTCTGTAGCTATTCAGTGCTTGCAGTGCAGAACTACTCTATACACCAAGGTGTGAAACATGGATGTTGCACACGGGTGAGAACTGGAAGATTTATAGCTGGCGGATGTGACTGGGCATTTCTCAAGGCACGCACGGGCTAATAAAAAGGTGGGGAATCCCAGGCATATGAATAATTATGGGAACTTCAACCTGCCACAAGCCTTGGGTTAGTTTACAACTGTTCCCAAAGGATAAAATCCACTTTGCTCACAGTGAAGGCTGAGTGCCTTGAATTTGTTTAGGTGAAGTACAGCAGATGCAAAAACCAACACCAAACTATGAATGAACAAGGCTTTAGAGAAGAGAGAACATCTTTCCGTGGCAGCAGCTACTTCATCCTACCTTTACAAGAAACTTGCACAGTCTGATAAAATGAGTGAAAATGTAGGTGTGATGGTCTCTCTCCCTCCTGTCTATGCTGGTAAACTGTCTGTACCAGCCCAAACCAGGTTTCAAAAGAGTAAGGACTGTTGATAAAGAATGTCTGCCACCACCACCATTCACATCTTTACGTTTCGGTTGTGATGACAGGATAACTTTTAAAAGTCTCGGCCAGTTGGTGGAGTCTCCTTTGGCTCTCAGCACCAGATTCATATGGGCACTAATACTATGAATATAATGGAAATAAACAGTTAAAGTATGCGGACAAAGTAGACTGCACTTCACGTAATGTGTGAAAGCAGTTTCTCAATTCCCCAAACAATGGCCGAGGTTTCTCAGAGTTTCTGTGAATACGTTACCCGCACACACAGATAACTGGAGCTGGATGGGTACTTTGAACTTCATGTAATCCACAGAAGGAAAAGTATTAATCAGAATGTAGTAGTTAGCTATATACTTCAGCAATCAGTCCAAAAGTATTTGCTAAATGTCAAATTTTGCTTCAGAATTTTTTACCAATAAGCTGTCATTTCTTTGATATTTCCAATCAGGCTGCACATGAAAAATATTACCATTATAATCAGGCAATACAGCTGTTCAGTGAAACTGAAAGATGTGACTATTTGTGCAAAAACTATCTTCAATTTTACTCATGTAGAAATGTGCTAAGCCCCTTCTTTGAAGTATTAGATTTTATTTGACTGAATTATTTATTTGATTTATTTTTTGCATAGTGTTTATTTTGATTTTATTTTGTATTGTACGGGGAAAATGAAAACAAAGACTAGATACAGAATATGCTACACTTTAACCCTGAAACTCAACTTGTAAATATGAAAACAGATTCCTGTTTGGCTCTTGGGATAAGACAATTATTTGCTTCATGTGAAAGGCCAGACTTAGGAAAATAATTTATATTTTTTTCCTAAATAAATAATATGAGCATTCCCTATCATATTTACAGGCTTAATGGCAGAGCAGGAAGGAAAAATACCACTTTGTTAGAACCCTAACGTAGCCAAACCAACCAAACTGAACTAATCCTGGCCTTACACAACCTACTGGCTATCAGGTATTTGCACTTGCTATTTAAGGACTCGATGTCCCCAAGGAAATAATAAAAATGTTCAACAATACTAATATGACCGCATCTGAATTTAAGATCATTCCCTATGGTTGTGGCCGTATGCTATACCTATTTTAGAGAATGTAAATAAGAGAATAAAACTAAAGAATTTATTCTCATCTCAGCATGCTGAGTTACAGAAAAATAAGCAAACGTCACACAGAAGGCATAATTTTAAGGGCATTTATCACCTACAGTTCCAACTGAACCATATTTTCCATACGCAGAGCACCTGTCATCAAAGTTTCTCAAAATTCATTGCAAACATTCAAGCTTTACAGTACTTAAAAACGTCATTAGATTTAAATCCAGACATTAGACTGTGGAACATCAACTGCAAAGTTTTAAGAATTTGGGAAATATTGTACACCATTACAAACGACATACATATCCAGAAGTCAGGAGCTCTGATCCGAGGTCTGCTACTAACTGACATTGGACAAGTCATATGAGCTGGGCACGTCACTGGCAAACAGAATGCAAGCGCAGGAATCCCACCATTAGCTACCTGCACAAACCAAGTTTCCAGTAAAACATTGCAGGTGTCCCTGAAACAGCTGAGTCCTCACTACCACCAAGCACTGCTTAAAGCCCTATTCACCCTCATCAAAGTTTCCCATGTCCTCTCCAAAACCCAGAAAAGAATGGTGAAGCAAACCACTCGTGCATCGTTTACAACGCACATAACCCAAACTTACTTGCATTGCCCGTTGGTTTTTTCACATTCTGGGCTTGCCATACTGACGACTCCTCTTTCTGAACAGTTGCAGCTCTTGCAGCCAGCAAGAGGGTGATAGCTGAAGTAATGTTTCTCACACACTTCACATTTTGGTTTCACAGTTTGCGGAGGGCAAATGCATTTACCAGTCATGTCATCACAAAGACGCTGCCCGCAGTTGCATACTAGGTCAAAGAAAATGTTCTACAAATCAATCACGCCTCAACTTACAATGACCAACTCTTATTGAACTTGCATATGGAATAAACACACACAACCTTTATGTATAAAGGACATGATTCTTTTCTCTCTTTCACTAGTTTTAAGCTCAGGGTCATGGAAACCAACTATGTGACTGTCATGGCAGTTTCAAAAAGTAGCTTTAGTGCCTGGCTCTCTTCCACAGATTGGTTGCTTAACTTCACCACAGGCATTATTAATCACTTCCCAAAACTGGCAAGGATTAAACGACAAATAATTTTGGTGTTAAGGGCACCACTTATGCAAAGCAACGTTTATAAACATCGAGTATAATACCTGGGAAAGCAGCCAAGGACTGTTGGTGTAATCTATAAATGTTTTGATGTTATTAAGAATAACATCAGAATATGAGGAATTAAGAATGCTATATCTCTGATTATCTATGGAAAGTCTTGAAGGTGTAAACTGGGATACAACAGTAGTAACTTGGAAAGGATTTAGCAATCAGTGCAGAAAAAATCCATTTGACTGAAAGAGTGGCAATATGGATTTTAACCAGTTGAAGTGTAAGCCTGCTACACCCGATCAGACAGCACATGCGAAGGCACACTTCATCGTGAACTAGGTGTGCTTTCAGGGAATGGGGTTACTTCTGCCTTAAACTGAAAACTATGCTATGCTAAATCTAAGCTGGCTCAACCAGCCTCTCATAGGATCAAGCTCTATATAGAAAAGTGAGGCAGCGGTACCTATGCCGTAAAATCAGAGAATTAAAAAAAAGGTCGGGTCAGGTGCTGAATAAGTGTCAGCATGTACTTACACTTGCAGAATGGGAATCCATAGTAGCCAGTTTGGCATCGGCTGCACTGACGACCGATGACATTAGGTCTGCAAACACACTGTCCTCCCAGGGGGCTGCAAGTAGGACTCATGGCACCTGCGCTATGGCAATTACATGGCAGGGCTCCGTTGTTGTAGAAAGCCACTAGTGACCTTACAGAGTCCTTACAGAAGGCCGATGATTCTTCTGGGCTATTTAAATTGAAATATAAATCATGTAAGCACCGGCACTTGGGAATTGTTATGAGCGTGCTCTGCAGTGGTTCAGTAAATTAGGGTCCTGTCTTTCAAACAGTTCTTTGACATAAGGATGGCATCAGTACACATGCAAGGATATATACTTCAATTAAATTAGTGGTGAATGGCTTTGAACAGGCAGGTTAGAGATTTTTTTCGAAGAAAGTGCATATATTAGTCATATCAGTTCAGACATGCCAAGCAAAATACCAAATACCAAAGATGGAAATACCAAAGACAGAAAGATGACATAGATTTTCCTCTTTTGTACTGTGAGCAATAAAGCTCTACCTTTACATTTAATTTACAATAGAAAGTAATGGAAAAATGACTCATGGAAATTTAATGGGCCAGCATAAGCCATGAAAAGCATTTTAATGTAGCACAATGATGGGGATTTTATACATGTGTCTTTGTAATACAGAGTAAAAGTAATATTAATTCCCAGCTTGTTGTCAATGTTCAGTTTTTTAGAAAGTGATGCTTACTCAATATAAAAACTGTTTCCTCCACATTGGCTGATAAAATCAAATGACTTGTCCACTGTCTTTTTGTCAAGAATTTTGTAACTGTAGGTGTCTGCTGGAACAACTAAGACATTTTCCTTAAAACAACAAGAAAGCTATATTGTACATTTCAGAGAAAAGCAAAAGACACAAGCTAAGGCATTTATATATTTAAAAGTTGCTTCATTATGTGTTCTGGATTTTCTTAAAACACATAACATTTTAACTGAAAAAAATAGGGAAATATACTTTCTATCTTCCCCCCCGCAGAGTTGTGATGCTACAAGCAGTGTACAATAAAAAGTGTATAGTATCTTAAAAATTTAAAATGAAACAGAAGCAGTGCAAAAACATTAAAAGACAAATTATTTCTTTTTGACTTTCATCTTTGTATCTATCTTTAAATGAATTGTGAAACTGAGAATAACATTTCCAAGTACATTTATGTAATAAACGTACCAGAACCAGCACTCTTCCATCAGGTATCATCACTGTAACAGAGACCTCAGGTTCAGAAATGTCAAGCTCAATTTGGTTTTCTGCAATCACCTGATCCCGACAGCCAGAGGTATGAGGGCAGAATGAAGCATTGAAGGAACCTAGAAGAAAAAAACCATAATGCCAAAAAATGCTCCATGTGCCAAAATGCTGAGAAAGGGAAGGGGTTAGATCAAATTCAGATGCTTACCTGACCACACACGTCCTGCATCCACACGCACTTGCACAGGGAACGCCGGGTGTGCTGGCTGATAAAAATGTATCACAAACACATATCTGCCCAAGTGGGGCACTCTGCCACCCAATGTAATCTGGTTCTGCAGAAACAAGATCAGTTCAGATAGTGTATTTGTTTTGTGAAGTATTTTGGGGTTTATGAGCTGTGCTCTGTGCCACCTACCTGCAGTGAAAGAGAGGGGGCTTAGCATCTCTCAGCAAGTCAAATATCATCAAAGAATATGGCATTACAACTCTATGCTCCTATCTGCATGCCAAGCACATCTAACGTTCTTCTGCAACCTGTCAGACTACTGCATAGTTTAGAAAGAAACTGGCATTTTTGTTTCTCTCTGTATATTGTCTTTGTGGCTTATTCAGTCTGCAACATTTTGATCATATCACATCATTCAGTTTTGATTCTCTTAAAGTGTTTCATCTATTTAACTTTACTAAAGAACATATTTTGTGACTTAGAAAACAAGGATTTCAAAATACGAGATACCTGTAACGGTGTCAAGGTGACTCCATTAACTGATTCAGACGGTAAAGGGGCACTCAGTGGATCATAGAGTATATTTCTCCGTACTTCAGAAATTTCCCCATCCTTAAACGCATCTAAAACCAAAGTTGCTGGTGGTGTTTCATACACTGAGGGAACGCATGTTGCACTAAACGCAGAATTATAGTAATTACTCTTGGGGCCAGGAGAATTTCTTAAGCTTCATAAAAGGAAAAGCAGTTTACTCACAAAAGTCAATATATTAGACTGTATTACAATTAATAATGCAATAGTAACCCCTGTTGCTCTTTGGATTCTATGTAAATGATCAGAAAGTAAATGAAAACAAGAGGTAAGGATTTAACTCACAAAAGGGAAAATGTACATTAATTCATTTTATTCAATCAAAATTTCCATAACCTGAACAGTTTCAATGGAAATAGTTTGCCAAGGAAGATGAAACCTAAGGGAACCAAGTGTGTTAAAAAATTAAATAAATTGTAGTTAATCCAGTTAGTTAACATTCACCAGAAGCTGTCCTAATATTGAATTCTCAGTTCTACAAATATTTACATAGGTGTATCCTTTAAACATGCAAGTTTTCCCACTGAAGTCAACAGGACTACTTAAGTACTTAGAAGTTAAGTATACACTCAAATATTTGTAGAACTGGAGCCAAAATAAATAACAGTGCTCCTTGAAAGCATCCTTATTCGTTCACTGCTATGTCTAACTATTTCTTCCTTGGTATATTTAATTCTGAAGAACTTGACTGAGAGAAGTATTTTCCAAAACTGCAGGAGAAAATGTTTTTGGGGGTTTCCTGCTAGTATTTGTTCACTTCTCATCAGTACTCAACAGACAATGATTAATCTTTGCTCAAGACAGGCCCAGAACTGGAATGGCAAGTATGTTTCAGGGCCAGGATTGAGATGTATTTGCCAGGCCTGTGTGGGAAATCACGTGCAGCATCTGCTTATAATACTGTTACATTGAGTCAAGACTCTGCATCTCTCAACTTGGTGAACACTAAACACTTTCAGGAAAGCAAAAGTGCTGCCAGATAATGGTCTTAATAACAGAACATAAACATACGGTAAACTATGCAAAAATAACAAGAGATTAAAAAAAAACCCAGCACAAAACCAAAGTAAAAGGTACACATTTCTACATTAGCTTTATTTTAAATCATGTTTTTTCACCCACCCTCTTTCCCCCACTTTACTCGGAATATAAATGCCCAGGAATGCAAAATACCTTTGGTGCAAGTACAAGTATCTTCCGTCTTAGAAAGCTGCTCTCAGTTGTAACACTGAGCAGGGTAATTAAAACTGGGATTCAATGTTATGCATGCTTGGAAGCCAAGTACAGTCACATGCTTTTATCCAATTTACTATTCTGATTTTTCTGCTTTCTTTTTCAGTTCAGCCGTTACATTAGAAGCTATCGTCTGGAAAACCATTAGACCTAGTCACCAACTCCTTCTGCCTCTGAAGTCCTGCAAATGACAATTACTTTTCCTTTGAGGCCCTTGCCACTGCCAGATCAGTGGGAAGAACGCCCTAGGAGTAGCATCACGAGGGACATCCTGGGGACTGCAACAGGAACTGAAATGTGGGGCTCCCTAATTTGGAATCTGCAGTGACAGTTCCTCCCTGGCTCAAAGAATAAAACATATGGAGAGGGGAAATGCTTCCACAGGACAGAGCAAGTGCTCTGCAGAACCCAAACCTGACCACTTGGGAAGTGAAATTTCAGGTTCAAATCTTCACAGCAAGAGAATAACCATCAACCTGGGTCAACCAAACTGTGTATGAGTACTCTAATTACTGGTCCTATACAAGTATAGTGGAGGAGAAGGATCACCTGGTGCTGCTGTGTGAGGTGGATGCTGAGGGCACACCTACCATACAGACCCCACGGTGAGAGGGACAAGGGAATGGTTTGTTTGTGAAGCAGGGGTTTCACGTGTTGAGTAGTTTGATGCTGCCAAGTTGAGATAGGGGATTTGTGCCTGAAAGGGCAGTCACATCCCCTACCTAATGACAAATGAAAGCCATTTTGGAACAGCTGAAGCAGTAATATGTGGAATGAAACTCCAGATGGAGTCGTAAGCATTTCAGGCCACCGAAGTACAAATGTTTCTCCAGCTTGGACACCTGTCATACTGGATGACGTGTGAAAGATGCTTGTTTTCTAACGCATCAGCACTCAGTAGTTCAGATGGGCCAGGAAGAGGCTAGTATTAACAAAATCCTGCACAAAGACTGTCTAGATTAACACTAACACTTCAGCTTTCTTACAAATACTACTTTGCAAAAGTGGCCTATAAATCACCTGTGAGTCACTGAGCAAAGGTTCATTCAAAAGAATTACAATCCCATTTAGTTTGCCTTTCAAAGCCTTCAGAAAATACGAAGGATAAACCCAACCAAGTTACCTTCTATCAGGGGTACTCCTGTAAGCAGCTATGCACTGTACTTTAGGATCCACATATTCTGGAGAAAATTCTTCAGCTGATATAATACAAACCTTGTGCTGAAAAATAAGCACAAGTCACAGTTAACAATTAATATCATAAATAACAGGGCCAGGCCTGAAAGGGAAGGATGAAGCCTAATTTTAGCATGGGGACAACTGAGCTCAAAGCCATCTTCTGTCATGTTCCCACAAGATTTTGGATTCCTTTACCTGCCTGCACTTGAATGCCTCAGTGTTGAGTGTCCTTCTCAGGGGAATATTGGCTGTTCAGAAGTTAAATAAATTAATACATAAGTATATGTATGGCAATGGGAATGACAGAAGATCAGCTCTTGGGGTCAGAAGCTAGGCAAGAAGCGTACAGAGGTGGGAGGGAAAAGACCTCACCTTTGGTGTGAGAGACTTTTGGACCCTGGGGGAATTCCTAGACCTTCTGAAATGCAGGCATGAACACTTACTTACACAAAGTCCATAGGAGTGAGTTTCAGAGACACCAGGATTTCTCCCAATAGAATCAGAACTCATTTTAAAAGCCAATGGGACCTCATATGATGGGGTTTTTTTTAACTAAAACTAGACATGAGCAAATGAAGCTCTGGTAGTCCTGCTGTAGCCATGGCGGAAAGGACATAATGGGAGGCTTGTGGGTAGACACAACAGTTTGCACTAAAAAAACATATTACCTGCACTTACAAAATACCTAAGTGCAGGTTACAAAACTTGTGCATGAACTACTTGAAAAGGAGAGTAAAAATGCCTGATAAGCAGTAAGACAATTGGCACCATGTATTAATATAAATAAAAATTGCATAGGGAGAATTCATTAATGTGCAAAGTGATTCAGTTGAGAAGCAGGTCCTAAGGGGGCTCAGCTTGTGTTTTACCAGTAGTGAGCAGGGACTAGAGAACCTTTATAAGCTAAGAGGCAGAGTGCTAGAAGTCCCTTTTCCTGAGCAGCAAACATTGTGCCTGTCCTGCATGTAATGGCCCACAGGGCTCCAGCCCACTGCAGCAGAGCAAGGGTAGATTCTGAAGCTTTGAACTCCACTTCAGGAGCGCCTAAAAAGTTAGTGTGAAACATGGGCTGGGTCTAGACAGCTCATATGCAACAGTGTGAAAGAAAGACTAGCAAGCTGTAAGAGCCTCCCTTGAAAGCTGACTTCAAGAACCCCATTCCCCCTTTATTTAGACCAGATTTCTGAACTCCAGCCTTGGGGGTGGTTCCCCTTTGCCTCTCTGGTCTACATCACAGGGGGTCGCACAAGGGTCTCTAACTCCAAAGCTGCTGCCATTGACTCTGTGATTAGTGTCCATATTCCAGAAGCTTTTCTTTTCCCCCTTTTTCCTATCTTTTCCTAAGCATAGTCTTTACATTTAACAGGGGGGAATATTTCCTGTATCTCAAGAGAATATCGAAATCTATCACGCAGAAAGTTATTCAGAGCATGAAAACTAAAATTTAGAAATAAAAATAGAGAGATTCTTAGCACAGAGACTTCCACATGTGGGGATACAGACTAATAATATCAATGTCTTTTGGATATGGAACTTGTTAGGACAGCAATTGCTGCAGGGAACTGACAAACAATTTAAATGGTTTTTGTTCACACTGAACACTGCCTCATGAAATTAAGAAAGCACGTATCAGTTGTTAATCCTAATAGTTCAATGAAACTATGTTTATAGCTGGGTTTCAACTCTAGATTTTAATCAACTGTGTAACTCACCTTATGTTTCTAAAATAGAAAACAGAACCAACACAGAAGAAAATTCAGTGTCCAGAAAAATGTATTCCTGGTGTGGACAAGAGAGGGCAGTGCAGGCTTTTTATTCAAATTATGTAAAAGTTATATGACTAATGAATGTATTTATTACCTGAAATGAATGCATTTATTACCTGAATTTTGTAAGAGACCCAGGAAACTCCCACATGGGTTTTGAGGATTTTAAAAAAAGTGAAAGATTAGGAAAAAAACAAAAAAAATTATGTATAAAAGCTATCAGAAGATTTTTCATTTAAAGTTTACATGTAGAAAGTGGGGGGGAACTGAAATAAAGCACAAGAGAGTTGGGAAAACCCTTGCCAAGAAAGGCAAATTTCTGTTTATCTCTGAAACTGATCAAGTTTACATCAGGATTCCCTGAGTATATATAAACAAACATCTTCAAGCATCTAATATACATCTTTTCATACCTTACCATACAATATGCGAACACAGGGAGAAAAGTATCTCTCTATACCCACTCAGGGGGCAAGTGTTACAAAAGGGAAAAGAAAAAACAAACTTACCAGAAGAAAATTAATTGATGATGCCTTAAGATGTATCTTTGTATCTGCTAGAAGGTCATAGACTGCAATGCGATTCCTGTCATCAACTACAACGCTGCGACAAAGGAAACTGAGACAGAAAGCAGGATTAAAAATAAGCCTGCTGGCATTGCCACGTTGTTTAAGCTATCACCTAGCTCAGCTGCCTAGCTTTTGGCTAGCCTCATCGCTGGTGCCTAGCC